TGCTTCAATCAGTTGTACAAAATGGATCCTGAAATCTTTAATACTTGGTAATATCAAGATGTTCCTCCCTTCATATCCATAGGTGCAATTCCTAAAGAAAGAATTCTACGAGTGCACATTGTACCTAATTTGGCACCTCAAAAGTTTTTTTGTGTTTTAGGTGCAACATTCTTAAACGCGTGCCCAACAGTGCACTCTGGCTCCTCAGATTCCCAGCTGCAGGCGAAATGAGACTTCGTGCATGTAGGTGGAATGGTTTACTAATTGATAATGAATTGATCCCGTTCCTTTAAACCTCTACTAGTTTATAATGACATTTTACCTTTCAGTCTGAAGTAAAAACCATTATTTTTATTTGTGATATTTGTTTACTTATTGGACTTTGTTCAGATGCTGTTGCTCAAGGGGTGCAGGCAGACCAAATCATCTTCACAGATGTTGCCATGAAAGGCGAGCATATCAGGCGCAGTGCATTAGCAGATTTATTCCTTGACACGTAATCTTCTTTTGACCTTGATTCATTTAAAATCTTGAGGCTCTCTTTTATTCTTTCTATGCAATAACCTAAGAATTTTCGATTTTGGGATTTTTTGTTTTAGGCCTTTGTGCAATGCACATACAACAGGCACAGATATTCTATGGGCAGGTTTGCCCATGGTGACCCTTCCCCTTGAAAAGATGGCAACCAGGGTTGCTGGGTCACTGTGTCTCGCTACTGGACTGGGAGAGGAGATGATTGTCAGCAAGTATTTGCTCTGCCCTTTTAACTTTATGAAATGCTTATTTCTGCAGGCTTTGTTTCTATGTCTTCCATCAGACGCTTCTTTCTTCAATATAATGGTGCATGAGTTAACAATTTTATTTTCATGTTTTGACTTCCTATAGTATGAAAGAGTATGAAGAGAAGGCAGTATCTCTGGCATTGAATCCCTCGAAGCTCCATGCTCTTGCCAACAAGCTCAAGGCAGCCCGACTGACTTGTCCTCTGTTTGACACAGCACGCTGGGTGAGTAGTTTATATTGTACCTTCAAAATTGTTTGTATCTTCAAACTGTTGTCTCATATTCCTTCCTAAATGGAAAAGAAAAGAGCAGCTTAGTAATCTTTTGTAACAACACTTGTTGCAGGTGAGGAATCTGGAAAGGGCTTATTTCAAAATGTGGAATCTGCATTGCTCAGGCCAGAAGCCCCAGCATTTCAAAGTCGCCGAGAATGATTTAGAGTTCCCCTATGATAGATAGAAGAGAGAAATTAGACGGGATTGTAGATAATTTAGGAGAGAAACAAGATAGGGAAGTTACTTCTATGGATTAGGAAATTCATAATTATCCAGATGATGATCCTTGACGTGTTTCTAGTTGATGGAGATCTTGCTTAACGAAGCATTATTCTCTCTCCCTCTCCCCCCTTCCTTCTGTTCCCCTCCTTGTATCATCCTCCACATAATCATGTGATTTGTACTCCTGTTAAATAATGGAGATAATGGTCATTTGTGCAGATTATCCGCTGGGGTCTTGATCTGTTCATTGTGGTCTTTGTGCCGTGCGTTTGCTAATAGAGATAAGGCTTCAGCTGTGTATGTTATACTTGTGTGTTGATTGTATCTTTGACATCGACTGTTGCATCATTAATGGTAAGGTATTGGTCCCATCTGCTTTTACCCCTCGTTTCGGTTATAAATATGATCTTATGCCTCTGATAACATTAAGGTGGCGTTTCGCAGCGCTTAATTTTTTTTAAAAGCACCTTTAATAAAAATTTGGCATGAGTTGGGTGTTTGGTAAACCCAAAAAAACACGTTTATTTTAAAAACACCCATCATAAAAAGCAAAAACTCAAAGTCAGGCATATGGCGCTTTGAAAAGCTACTTTAAAAAAGAGCCGGTTTTCTCATTAATGAAAGTTTCATTATCCCTATAATACCTCTAAGTACTTCACAAAATGACAATGTTTGACCCTCTCACAAAATAGATCTCACGACCTTCACTCTCTGACCTTCACTCTTATAGACTGCTCTTCTCACTGTTCTTCTGTCTCCCCTTGCATCTCAAAACTCCATATCAATCAAGGATGTTAATTGCCGGCAACAATCAGCTACTTATCAGTGAGTTCATATTCTCATTACATTTATGATTTTTGGGTTTATATATGTTATGAAATTAGGTTTTTTGTTTGGTTTATATGAAATTGGGGGCTTTGTGTTCTTGGGGCTTTAGGAGGAAGACACGGGAGAGACAGAGAGAGTTTTGCTCCTAGTTTTGTACTGGGTTTGTCTCTCCTTGCTTTTTGGCAAGGAGAGATTTCTCTCTAGCTTGGTTCAATTGGCCTTTGGGTCAGATACTTCTCTCTTTGTTTCTGTTTCTCTGAAACATGTCGGTCCTAAATGCTTTTTTTCTCTAGATTACACAACCATAATTGTTCACAGATTTACTCATTGTATAGTTCGGTACTATATATATGATTGCAACCCAAGTCCCCAAGTCAGGTCCGTGCTGATTTTTCCATTGTCTTAACCTTGTTGTCTTCAAGCTCAAACATAATTCCTTTGGACTTTAGTTTTAGTTCTCTTTTAGTTAGAAGACAAGAAAAGAGTGAAGAAGCCATTAGTTCCAGATTTTGGGGCTTCTCTTTTCTCAAGAATGAAAAAAAAAAAAAAAAAATCCTATTATGTGAAACTGTTGTTCCATCACAGTTGTCGTCCATTATTGTGTTAGAAAATTTTTGGTAAACAAAGCTTTTATTTTTTAGTGGTAATAGTTTCAAGTTCTTCCTTATTATTAATTTTTAGTGTCAGTGGACTTTATTATTGTGTTAGAAGATTTTGGATTGGGTAATGGTTTGAAGTTCTTCCTTTTATTTATATTTTTTGTGTTGGTGGGCTTTATCAAAAGTGATTGTAGCATGCTGGTTATTGTGGTCGGGAACTCATAAACTGACATATGGTTGAAATATAAAAAATTTGTAAATTGGTATGAAATTGCATTCTCAGTAAATTATGAGAATGCAATATCATCTTGCCTTAGAAGCTGGAAATATTGGCTAAGACTTTATGTTATCTTTGTCTCCTCTTGGCAGAATAAGCTTGCTAGTTCCTCAAAACGTTATGGCCGTATGTAACTTTGACATGCCATTTATATTTGCATGTGCCGGGTGGGAGGGCACTGCACATGATACAAAAATGTTTCTTTCGGTTCTACGCAATGAAAATTTAAATTTCCCTAAGCCTCAAGTGGTAAAAATTATGGTCAATTAACCTTTGTGTTTTTCATTACTTACTTAGTCCAATTATATATACATATTAAGAAAAATGAATGTTGTATTTCACAGGGAAATATTATTTAGTAGATGCAAGGTACCCACAAATGAGAGGTTATTTGGGACCATATAAAGGCAAAAGGTATCATCTCCCGGATTTTCATAGGGGAAGTCAACCAACGGGTTATAAAGAGGTATTCAATCATGTTCATTCTTCTCTTAGGAGCGTTATTGAAAGAACCTTTGGAGTATGGAAGAAAAGATGGAAAATTTTAAGAGATGTGCCTAATTATCCATTCAACAAGCAAGTGAAGATAGTCATTGCTACAATGACACTTCATAATTATATAAGGAGGCATGCCCAACATGATAGACATTTTGATGCTTCAAATGATATCTTAAGTGAAGAGATA